TGATTCAGTTGAATAGAAATGTATCATTTTGTGCAGTGTTGACGGAGGTTTGAGCTCCCTAAGAACCCCACCTCCCACTTCATGCTGCATGCTTATCTGTTTCTGATCAACAGTGCAGTATTTACTTGAAATATGTACTCAGTTATCAACTTCTATAAATCTACTGTGTCCCTTGTGGGACAGTGAGGGCACATTCATGGGAATATTTTGCTAAGGAACAAAGCAAATGTGAAGACACAAGACAGTTGCAGCTATCATGGGTATTTTTTGCCACCTGGCAGACATTTTATGGACTTATCTGCCTTGAGCTGCTTTATTTCAGACATTCTGGTTATTATTAATCAAGGGCTGTTCTGTAGTTTTTTGCCACGTTAGGAGCATACCTCTATGGATGGCAATGTCTGTCAGTCTGCCACTACTTCTGGATCTTGATGAATACGCATTTGGCATCAGAACGTTACTCATTTATTAAAGAGGTCACCAGACAGGCCTTTTTGAGTTGGTTTAAGTGCACTTGTCCTTCATTTGTATCTCCAAAACTATTAGATGGATTGCCATGGCATTTTGTCCATACATTCCGGGTCCCTCGGCAACTATTGGAGGGATTTCTGTTAAATTTGGTACACATTCATGTCCTCTTCAGAATCAAGTATAATCACTTTGGTAATCCCTTGAATCTTCCTCGAACACAATCTTAAGGTTGGCTGTACTTTGGGCTGTGTTTAGGGCTAACACGTTAAATTAAGACGGTGAACATGATAAAATGTATACCTGCTTAACAGCCGCATGTTAGCATTGTCATAAACAACATGTTAGCATGCTGGTATTAGCATTTAGCTCAAAGCATTGCTGTGCAAAGTACAGCTTATAAAATGACTGTCATGGCTGCAGACTCTTAGTCTTGTTAAGGAATAAGGTGAGCCCCGGGTGTACTCTATAGTATAGTTTTTCTCCACGCTAAGGATGGTAATGTCAGCCTGCTGGTTGGTCGGTTGGTCAGCCCATACTTTAGCCCACACTGAATATCTAGACAGCTATTGGATGGATTGCCATAAAATGTGGTACATACATTGATTTTCCCCACATGTTTGATGAATTGTAATAGCTTTGGTGATCCCCTGACTTTTCATCCAGTGCTATCAAATGGTCAAAATTGTAGTTTTCACCAAATACCTGCAAAACTAATTTCCGTTTCCATCAGTCTCATCTATTCTCATAACTAAGCTGCAGCACTCCCTGGTTATCTGAGTTTATATTGAGCTTTTACTGCAGTCTTTCAGCCAGAAAACATCCAGAATGTCGCAAGTGCCTATTAAGGGAGAGTGTGTTGTGAATATAAGGCTCTCCATCACAGAGTCCTTTTACTTGTCTCACCCCACTTTCATTACACACATGTGATCGCATTCCCCATCTGTTCCTCAAGATTATTCTGTCTTTTTCATACTCATCCTCTTTTACTGTCTGTCTCAATTACTTTCTCCCGCCCACGTTCTGCTTCCACAAAACTAAACATGTGCACACATTAGCTGAAAAGTTTTCCTCTCTCCTTGTCTTGTTTTTCAAGGTCTCGTTGAGCAGCAAGAAAAGCCCCAGAGGAATATCATGGCGACGTGCGCTGAAATTTTAATCAGGAGGAAATGGGGCGGCACAATCTTGCTTCTTTTTAGTATAAATTTGCACAGACGGACTCTTGCTGCTTGTCAGGTCCTTGTGTGACACACTGAGGGCGTCTGCCTGTGACAGAAAGAGGAGAAGAAGAGTGGTAGAGGGGGTGAAGGAGAGAGGTGAGGAGAAGGGAGAGAAGAAGCAGGAATAGGGAGAGCTGAATGGATTTTTCTATTAGGCTCCTATAGCATCTCTGTGCCTAAGCAGGGGCCAGTCGGGATGGAATAATAGGTTATACATTCATCACAAAGACAGGTTGAAACGCATTCAAGGTTTCCTGTGTGTCATGTTGACCTAGTAGACAGTTAGATGCTGCGTAGAAGAATGATGCAAAGGAAATAACGTAAAGGTGAATATAAAATTGGGTTTTGAATAATTAAATGAAAGAATATATAAATTATAGGTATTACGCGAATTGAGACATTTTTTTTAAATTTAATAGTATTTGAAGTTACGAAAGTATTCAGTAGAGAATGGATTTTAAGTGTGATCAAATTCAGATTCTTAAATATTGTTTAAATATTTAAACCAATGCAGTCTGTCTGTGAAACCTACCATATGTGTGGTAAATCACGTGGTAGTGAAGTGTGCTTTTTAAAAATGTAATAAGCAGCTAAAATGGAAGATACAATTGGCCAATATCAGCAGTGGCAGTTTCTCATCAGATGGTAGAGCAAGTGACACTGTCTTTCAACATTACATTTCACTTTCAACGTGTCTCTGTCCTTCTGTCTTTACCCCTCTACCCATCTCTCCCTCTCTCTCTCTCTAACCCCAACTGGTCAAGGCAGACGGCCACCCACCTAGAGCCGGCGTCTCTCCGAGGTTAATGCCTCTTAAAGGACGTTTTTTTCTTGGCGCCGTCGCCAAGTGCTTGGGTCTCTTGTTGGGTCTCTGTAAATAATTTCATAGGGAGTACGGTCTAGACCTACTCTATTTGAAAAGCGTCCTGAGATAGTGTTTGTTATGAATTGGCGCTATACAAATAAAATTGAATTTAACTGAAGCTGAAATTATTTGGCCAGGTTAGAGTAACTTTTTCCTACATGCTTGTGAGCAGCACTTTGAGATTCAGTGTCTTGCTCATATCTTATTGTGAAAATTATATGTATTGTTAATAGTTTTCAAAAGGAAAGTAAAAAGGTTCCTGGAGGGGTGTGTCGGCATCTGTGTTTGATTGACAGCAGCTGGCAGGCAGGCGAGATTGCCGGACAGAGAAACTTGAATTTAAGCCTACGTGACACAGGCAGACAGCGTGTTGTTAGTGGTATTGAAGAGTAAGGCCCACACCAGCATCTAACCGTACCAAAGTGACATTTGCAGGTATGTTTACATGCTGTTTAATGATGATGTTAGCAGTGCACAGCCCTCCGGTGAATGTGTGTTTGGTTGTGTGTTGAATAAGCTACGGTGCAGAACAAGATGTGTTTGTAAGTTGGATAAGATGGAGACTTTATTTGGAAAGCTAAGGTTTTTTTTTTTTGGTTCAATCTGTGTTGCTGTCTGGCTCTATATGACCGTCAAATGACGGTATTTTGTCAAATGAATACAAAACGACATCATAAGACCAAAACAATAAAAAATATAAATGTCTCCCCCAAGGTGGACGTGTCATATTCCACAGGCGATGGTGCATTGTGCAACACCCTTTGTTGATGACACATGCTTGATTACAATGGTTCGGCTTAAGAAAATGTCCTTACTTTCCAATGTCCTCACTGGCCTGGTCTAAAACTTGAGCCTCAAAAAGATTAAAATACAACAGTACAAAGAGACTCACACATACCAATTCTCCTGAAGCCAAATCTGCGTGTTTGTATACTGTACATTAGTTTGTTATTGGTATTCAGTGGCATAGTCCTCTAAGCCAGCAATCTGATTAATAATTCACAGTATTTCATGCAGTCAGTGGTGCCATTTGTATTTAAAGTGTTTCACTAATTGCCTCCTCCCATCGAGCTAATTATTTCTCCATTGTGCTGTGATCCTGTAATTCACGGTGCAGAGTCACCAAAAGTCACTCAGTGTGTAGAATGACTAAGTGGAAGAAGAAACCGCCTCTGCCTTTGTATGCTGAGCCGCAGTGTATCTGTCTGTATGTGTGTGGTTGTGTATATAAGGCCTCCGCGGAGTCGTGCGTCATAGCATTGATATTCTCCTCACAGGGTCGTCAAGCATGAAATAGAAGAGCACACTTTCTGTGGATAAACTCTCAGCAGAACGCTGTTGGATAGTGAGAGTCGGATGCTCTAGAGAAATCTCTTCGCTGACACTGATACTGACAGCGTACAGGGGGAAAAAAAATCTTATTGTGTGTGCTGCCCTGTTGTATAACTGTTTAACAGTTCTTAAAGGTGCGCACCTGTGGTTTTGCATTCTTGAGCTCATAAATCGTGTATATTTTACACCAGTGCTTACCCTTTCTCAGTGTTTCCTACAAGTTGAGGGTTCATATGAGGTGGCCAAACCTTAGAAGCTTTGGGGAGAAGGATTGTGGGCTGGTGGGGGAAGTCAAAACACATCAGTTTATGTTCAGCTTCAAAATCAAGTTGCAATCACAACCTAATGTCTAGCTAATCAAATCTCCAACTAATAGTACATGATTGTGCAAATAAACCATTCCAGCTTTTCAGTCAGTCTGTAGTTCTAACTGCCCTTCCAGACATATTTATGAGATTGATAAATAGTCATTGCCACAATATTATTTTGGTGGGCATCCAAAGAAATCTTGGTAATGGGAAAAATGTTTCTTGAATTAATTATACACTATTAACATTACCTTGCAAAGCCACAGAAGTTTGACAGCAATAATGAATCACAATTAGCTGCCTGAGACGATCATTATGATCGCAAGGTGTAACAAGCAGGGACCTTTTTGAAAAGGGTTTTTTGCTGGTACTTTTAAGGTCTATCAGGCATTTGAGATTTGAAAGTCACCTGCCAAACCCATCTAATTCATTCAGCTGTTCTATGAGAAAGGGGTCATTTGAATTTGGCCATACCTCTGAACTCTCAAATGTCATAATGTCTGTACATATATTACAAGGAAGGGTTTTTAAACCTGTTATTGCATTATTACTTGACAATAACAAAATACCAAGGTAAATTCAACAAGCTGGGGGATGTGATGAATTGTTTGCTGGATCTCCAACAAGTATTTGCAATTGTACTTTCATAGTGCACTGAAATGATTTAAAACCCAACTGCTCCATTAAAATCTGAACACCTGTGGTGTATTTAAAAATGGTGTGCAATGCAATGCGGGCTATATGCAGGTGTTTGTGTGTATGACAGCATTCCTGACAGTCTTCCAATGTGTTTGTATGTGTCTACAGGGGGTTAACCGGGTGGGAAAGGATGCTCAGGTGGGACGTGACGGCGTGCGGAGAAAAGACTGGCACGATTATGAAGCGATCAAAAGAGATTCATCTCGATCTGGTAGGTCCAAACCTCCTCATAGATATTCTGTCAAAAATAGATGAGAGCCGCATGACATATTTATCATGTACACAAACTTCATAGTTACGCAGAAAAATGTCATATACTGAAGAAAGATTCACACACATCCAGAGTTACTGCTCTTCTCCCGTTCCCTCTCTGGGTCTTATTGCTCTCCAGTGCTGCAGCAGCAATGTAAATCTGTGCTTTGAACGCAGCTTCTGCTGTCATAAATACAGTTTATATGTGCTACAATAATCACCAACTCGGTTTTATTTTCTGTTCAGGGAAATCAGCTTCTATACAAACAGTGTAAATTATTCGAAAATGGGTTTTCTTACTGAAATGAGATGTTAAAAGCTAAAAGTTATTTTCCACACTTGTTACCTTTAGGAGGGAAAGTGGATAATTTCAGCTTGATGAAACATGTATGTGTGTGAATGATGAGGGTTGTTTTTTGTTCTCTGGGTATCCCAAAGTCCCTGATTCCCCTGTAATAAATCTGCACAATATGAAGTTAGAAAAATATGAAACTGTCTTAAGCAGTTCAGCCATAAGAGTTCATATTTATTTCATTGTGTTTCATCAGCAGGTTTCTTGCTCTGAATATCTTTTATTATTATTAAACTTTGATTGACTTTACTTCATTTATACAGACCATGGTTGAAAAACAAATGTTTTATTTAGTCATAAAATCTCAGCTTAAACCCACAACTGGACATTATGTAGTGTTCTTCAGCTATGTTTTATTTTATTTCTCGTATTCTTTATTCTCTATTTTCTTATACTATCTGATTTTTACTTCGTAGACTTTTTATGTTCAGTGTAATGGTTCTTTCTTTGTTTTGGTTGTTAAATTCATTTAAAGTATCACTTTTCCATTGGGGAAAATAGTTCTTAAGTTCTGTCTTAATATGTCTAAAGTGTGTTTTCTATATTTAAGAACTTAAATTGTCTTAAATTCTGTTAGATTTTACATTTTAAAATATTTTTTTAAAGGTTTCTTCTGATGAGGAGTCCATGTAAACTTGACATGTCATATTTTGCTCTTATATTCTTTCTTTTTTCAGTGATGAAATTGGCCCTATTTTCCATTTACATTTGCATTAAAAGGCCTTAAAACTTCCCTCAGTAAGAACAGCCATAAGAAAGCTTTGGTGGGTTTATTGCATGGATTATACATTTCTGTTTAAACTTTGATTTTGCCCATTATCTTATCTTAATGAAAGTGGAGAACTTTTAATTGCTTTACAATATGCGTGTCTGCTGAAGAGATACAGTGTGGTGAAACTGATACACTGATGTCTTGTACATGTTTTGATAGTGAAATCTGTGTGTATGATGCAGGTAACGGTGAACAGGGGAAGCCGTTCCCTCTGACAGACGCTGACCGGGTCGACCAGGCCTACAGGGAGAACGGCTTTAACATTTATGTCAGCGACCGGATCTCCCTCAACCGCTCCGTCCCTGACATCCGCCATCAAAAGTGAGTCCTGTGTGTGTGTGTTTGTCTAGGGAGGGATACAGTTTAGGGGCCGAGAATTGTGGCAAGATAAACATTACCACAGGTGTGACATTCATATGTTTACAGAGTTTTATATTGGACCAAGAAGATTCTGACATCACTGTATTTCATAAGGGTTCCTCCAAGTGAGTCTTCACAGTCATAACTGCACTTATGTATTGCAGCACGACTATTACTACACTTTACTGCTTGTTATTGTGAAGGTAAACAAAACAAAGTAATTGTCAGATGCATTTGCAGGAACTTCAGAAAATGAGTTTTGGAGTAGTTTACGCTGACAATATAAGTGTGTTATAACTGACACTATTATGCAAATTCCATGATGAAGCTACAGTGATAGATGCTGAACTTTAAATATTGATAGACTGACTATTTATCTACAAGCACATCTGTCTTGATAAGTTAACATAACTCTCGTCACTGAAGTTGGTTTGTCAGATATTTTAATTAGATTTTATGACTTAATAAACAAACTATGTTGGTGATTTTAGCCCCATCTCAATCTACCCTTATCAATGATTTGCATCGACTTTGCAACAGTGACCAGACTAAAAACGCTTCCTTTTAAAAATTCCAGTAAAGTGCCCAGTAACCCAAAACTGCCATTTTTCTAGAAAAAATAAATAAATCATCCGTGTTTGTGTGAGCAGTTTCATCTGAATAGGGGCAGGAACAGGCCACAGGGGGCCAAGAGTCTGCAGGTTTTCATTCCAGCCAAAGAGTGCAGCAGGTTATTTCACAGATTGGCACTCCATCAACCGGAGAGGAAAAATGAATCACCTGGTGCACTCCTTGGTTGGATTGAAAACCGGCAGACTCCCAGCCCTTCGTGGCAGATGGTTGTTTCTCTCCCCCACCCAAAATAAGGTTGACTATTGCACGAGAGGCCAGCTTGCGTGCAGGACTGACCAGGGAAATCTGTTTTAAGGGGAAGGAGACAGAAAGAGAAAGCTAATACAAACAAGTTTTCTGCTGATTTCAAGAGAGAGCTGTTGTTTTATGTGTTTTATGTTACAGTTTGACTAGGCAATATAAGGCTAAAACATGTATTTTGGTCATTTTCAAATTGCCAAAACAAGTGCCTTTGTCTTGGACATGCCGTGGACCTGACAGCTGTGAGACATGACTTATTTGGACTTGGGAGCAAAAACATTCCAATCTCAAAGTCTGACCTGCTGAAATCTCATACTGTGACTTTGTCTGACAGACCTCTCCTCTAAAGACTTAAAAACAACTCTTTCTTTGTATTTCTGCTCTCTTGCCATTAAAAATGACAGCTGTGAAGCAAAAGCATTTACTAATAATTAATGAAGCAAAACACAAATGGTGTGCCATCAGTAGTTGTGCTGGATCCCCCTCCTTTCTCCTCCTGCTCCAGTTGTGAAGTAAAGACGGACAATTCTACTCTAACACCAAACTCTACTTAGAGCATTGTTCACACCTTTATGTTTCCATGCTGGATCCGTCCCAGCTCATTACAACAAGCACTGTTTGGAACAATTGTTCCAATTATCAACCTGCCCAGTCTATTCACAGGAGAGATGTAGCTTTACACTGACAGAAGCTGATTACACACCGCACAACACCTATGTACTTATAAACTGTGTTCTTGACAGCAATTATCAGTGTCATTGATGCTCCCCTCTGTGCGCTAGGTGTGACGAGCTGATGATAGATGTGTGCTGGGGTAATTTTCCAGAAAGTGGGGCATGTTCTCTTCACTGACAGAACATCAGTGAAGGGAATAAAGGTGAAATATATTAAACAGGACAAACACTAATGACCCCCAGTGCTCCACAATATGAAACAGATGGAATATTTACTTTTTTTGTTAATATTTGTCTTTTGAGGTAATACCATGGGATCATTAAAATCCAAACTTTTCATCGCCTTGGGAGCATGAATGTAAAAATGGAACATTTCCTGGCAATCTGCCTCTTACAGAGATATCTTACGTGCAATGTTGACATCCTGGCCTCAAGGTTGGCATTTGCAGAATGCTCCTGGAGTCAAAAATGCAAACAGGCCATTACATTTTGATGTTCCTTGGGAAGAGATGGGAGTTTTGATCTGATGGCAGGACTACAGGAAAAGTGAGGAAGTGACCAAAAACATTAGGATTCATCCTCTGGGGACCACAGTCATTAAGAGCAATGTTAGACCAGTAATTGTTGAGATGCATCGATCAGCCATAACATTCTTACCACTGACTGGTGAAGTGAATGACACTCATTATCTGGTTATCATGGCACCTGTCAGTGGGTGGGATATATTAGGCAGCAAGTGAACATTTTGTCCTCAGAGTTGATGTGTTAGAAGAAGGAAAAATGGGCAGTGTGAGGATTTGAGCGACTTTGACAAGGGCCAAATTGTGATGGCTAGATGACTGGGTCAGAGCATCTCCAAAACTGCAACTCCTGTGGGGTGTTCCGGGTCTGCACTGGTCAGTACCTATCAAAAGTTGTCCAAGGAAGGAAAAGCGGTGAACCGGAGACAGGGTCATGATTTTGGTGATCCCCGGACTTTTCATTCAGCGTCTCAGCTTTGCAATCAGGTTAAAATTCCCACTTGTCTAGCACTCTAGCACTTCAGGCTGAGCTCTCCATTTACAAGTTGATTTAAGTTTCAACCCACACCTATGGTCACAAGTTTTGGTTAGAAACAGAATTAGATAGCAGATACGAGTGGCCAAAATGATTTTTTTGCAGGATAGCTGGGCTCAGCCTATAGGGACTGCTCCTTCTTGATGAGGAGAGTCAATTGAGGTTGTCCAAGCATTTGATCAGGATGCCTCCAGGATGTCTCCCTGTGGAGGAAACATCCATTTTTGAGAAGACCCCAGGGCAGGGTTCCTTCTTGTTGAGGAGAGTCAGTCATGGTTCGGGCATATGATCAGGATGCCTCCAGGATGTCTCCCTGTGGAGGGAACATTCAACTGGGAGGAGACCCCAGGACAGAACCAGAACACGCTGTAGGGATATACTGTATATCCCATCTGGGTGGGTGCTTTTAAGCATGTGAACACCTATGCGTGCGTGTTTGCGATTTAACATACTGACAAAATGCAGCTCACATTCCATCTTGATTGTACCATCTCTTCATATTGTGGGGTTTAACTTGTCAAACTGAGTCTGAGATTTTATAAAAATGTCCACTGTATTGATAAATCTACCAAACAAGAAGTGACTTCTGCCCTTTGAATTGTAGAGGCATGAAGGAGGTATACATTAAGCTTAACATGTAGCAGGATAAAGTGTTAAATAACAGACGCTGTAAAGTCATGATGAGCCATATGGACCTGTGGCTACAGTACAGACTGCTGGGTTTTTTCCAGCTCCCCTCTGACTCATTAAAGAACAAAATACTGAAAATAAACACACCAGCAACGCTATAAATATCGTCTGCTAAACAGCTTCAGACCTGCTGACCCGATTTATCACAGATCAGCCTTCAGTGCTTTCCCGCCACCTGACAAGACTCTTTTTTGACCCTGCCATCACTTTCATGTGGAAAGCAGTTTTAAATGTTTTCTCTCTCAAGGTCTCTTTGTGTTCTCTCACATTTTTCCCTTCCTATCTATAAATGTCCTGCATCCTGTGACCTTATGCAGCATTAGCCACCAGACACGATTCCCATACAGTCATCCAACAATCCTCCACTAGATTTGCAACAAAGACAATGCAGCACATTTTCCCAATTAATGTACGAGAAAACTTAATTTGTAGTTCTGAAAGCTGTCAAGGGAAGAGTTAAATTTAGTCAACTCTGACGTGGAGCAGCTATGTAGCCATTGTGGAATAAAATGTGAAACAGATTTCCGTGTCGACTGGACACAAACATTTTCTCAGAAAGATTCTGAGGGTGAATTAAAAGTTATTTGTACATTCATCGTCCCTTTTCGCTCAGCACAGTGCTGATGTTAAGAGAGATTCCAGAATAGCACAGTGAGCAAGTGAAAAATACCCAGGCATGAAGCTTAACATGCCCCGGGGTGCTAATGATGGAGTCATTTTAGAGGTTGGGCTACTTCTTTTGCAAAGAAATATGGATCGATTGTCGTCTGATTTTAGATGACTTACACCACTATTTGGTCGTGTTTAGTTCGTGATTGAAACAAAGGGTTTTAAATAAACTGAAAGTGCACCACTGTTCCAACAGAAAATGCCAGCTAACATGAGCAAGTCAATAAACACAATTTAACATTACCAAATAATGTAATGAGGAAAACTATCAACATTTGAATCCCTAAAAAGTTATGCCATTGTCATAATTATAATTATTATAATTTGTAGAATAGATGCAAATTACAATCTTTTCTTTGAGATTTTGTGGCGTGATTATTGCTATTCACAACCATTGCTATTCTCTTTAATGATAAGCAGACTTTCAGGTTTATGGAAAGCAAACCTTTGCAGCTTATTTTGGAGCACTTTCGACTAAAGAAAGGTGGTCAAAGTCTGACTCAACAGGCAAAGGACGAATTTGTCCAACACTGAAATCCTCTCACCAAGACCACAGAAATTACTTGTCAGGGCTGCTCTGGATCTCCAAGGAACCGACAACAAGCCAGCATACCAGGACCCATACGCTTCACACAGGACAGACAGAAAGGGAATGGGTGGTGCACTGAGTGGTGGAAGGGAGCAGGTGTGTCGAAGTGACAGCAGAGTGACAGTGACAGTGACAGGTGCCTGACAGCCAGGTGCCACATCATTCCTCAGTGGGCCCAGACCTCGAAACAGCATTCATTCATTAATTTCTCTCTCACTCACCGACTGAATGAGAGAGAGAGAGAGAGAGAGAGAGAGAGAGTGTTTCAGGCAGCCAGACAGGCCTGAGAGACTCAGAGATAATTACTGTCTCTACAGATTCCTCTGACTTCTCAGATAGAGAGAAAAGAAAGGGATGGAAGGGCAAGCCAGCAGGTGGTATGCTTCATTACATCTTATTAAAAGAGCAACACATTGTTCAGGTTGGGCTGGTTGAGAGCACTGCAGTACACCAAAGAAAAAGGCAAAACCTAATTTCCACTGCATGGCTCAGCTCGACTTGCTTTTGGTACCAGGTACTTTTCTTTTGTTTTTCACTGCAGATTGTACCCCCTCAGTGATTGTCATATCGACATCACGTGAAACAAACATAGGGGGTAAAAGAGGATATACTGTAGAGTGGATGGTGTTTTTGATTCTCAGTATATGAAACAAAACTGTGGTTGCTATTGATGGTAGCTTTGCTATTTAAAAATGGCGGGTCTGTGCAGGAAGTCCTATGTTGCGCAAGTGACTATTCTAGGGCATTTACCATTTATTCCTGTCCACAAACTTACCATGTTATGTTAGCATTAGTTTCAAAATAGCAAAGGCTTGATGGTAATTGTCTCATGTAGGACCTTTCCTGGCTTGAAATGAAATTCTGATCTGTTGGTTGTCATCGTTCTGCAGGGACATGGCAACGTGTGCATCAAATTTCATGGGAGCAAATCCATTAGTTGTAGTCATATTTCACTTGGACCAAAATGTTGGACCAACCAACCAACATGCCACTAAAAATATAAAAAAAAAACATGGGTATTATTTAGCAAAGATGACTCCGTACGGTCTATTTCCCTGTCTGGATTCCTTATTTGGTTTCATGTGTTTGTGTAGTTGTAAACAGAAGCTGTACGCAGAGAAGCTGCCCAACACCAGCATCATCATCCCGTTCCATAATGAGGGCTGGTCGTCGCTGCTGAGGACCGTTCACAGCGTTCTCAACCGCTCTCCTCCACAGCTCATAGCAGAGGTCATCCTGGTCGACGACTTCAGCGACAAAGGTACCGAGAACACCCACTCGTGACTGATCAGAAAACACACCTGCGCCAGTCTTCACCTACACACATTCACACAGATACATGAGCACAGCTGCAGTCATGCTACTAATAACCGCTTTCTTCCTCTGTTTCGCTCCTTCTTTCATGCCCACACACACACACACACACACACACACACAGAACTGCTCACACGCACGCACACAAACCTCTGAGTCATTTGTTTGCAAGTGTTAGTGACTGTTGCACAAATAATAAGCCGTTCAGAAACAAAAGCATCAGCCAGCTTCTGCGGAGGCCCAAATGTGATCTCAAGAAGTTCTTACTTTTGTACATCATACGCAGACAGAGGGAGAAATAGACACAAACACTGGTGAGTCAGTGCTTCAGGAATGTATCTCACCAGCCCAGGCGGTCATTTATTATCAAGACCTGAGAGCAGCTAGCATTGCAGAGCTCACTGCTTTACTCGAGTGTGTGTGCTTGTGTGTGTTTACATGTGCCTGTGAGCTTTGGTGCTACCGGTGGAAATCTCGCTGTTTTTAATTAATGGATATTGGCTAGTCATTGGTGCTAACTTCTGATTTGACTACAGATAAATAAAAAAATCTATAAAGGTCTACAATAAAATATGCAAAAAAAAAATGCTAAATACCTAAACTTTCGTATATTAACATGGTAATGCTACATGCTAACTGTCAGAATGTATTTGTGAATGGTGTGAACATTTGAATACTGATGGTAGCATTCAGCTTAAAGCACAGCTCAGCCCAACGATATGTCTGATATCGAAGCTTCCAGGCTTGTTTCAGAATTCTGAAGTAGTGACATTTGCAGCACTTTGTTTGAGCTTTCTTCTGCCAAAAAAATGCAAAATGACACAATTGGGGACATTTTGGCAGTGAACTCATGGGTGGCTTGAAACTGGTCCGAACCACTGTAGGGCGCTTCCTCCTAATAAAGTTGATTGAGTCTCACACACTTTCAATTCTGTCTTATATCTGTCTGATTCCATACACACATTCACTGTCTCACAACAGGACAGGGCAATTCAAAATATATAAATGTCTGAGGAGAAGACTCAGTTTCGATTCTAACTTTAATTGATTTGAGTTTAGTTTATTAGAGAAAATGTATCATCCTCAAATTTGAAAATCAGCAGCGAACATCAACATAACAACATGCACATGCCCCACAGTAAGGGATGTAAGCAAACTGGGACATGATATGTCCTACACTGGCGACTGTAGAACTGTAACCCTTTCCTCTGGCACATTGAATCTCTCCTTGTATCGGTCTCATCTGTTTTCAGAACTTAGCCAAGACTTTTTTTCTTTTCTTTTTTTTTGTTTTCTATTATATTGAATGTTTCATTTTTAGATTTGATTTGTATTTGTATTACAAAACGGAGGCTTAGTTTTTATGCAAAGCCTCAAGCTTCCTCGCAAACTACATGAAAATCATATTATTATTGTGTTTGCAGCTCAAAACTGCAGTGACCTCTGAACAGATGGTGATGATGAGGGCATTGTGTGACCCCAGTGTTGGCGAGGTTTAGCGAGAGAGAAATCCACTTTCTGGTGTGGGTCGGTATTCTCACACAGACAGCTTAATCAGTTTGAACTCTGGAGTTAATGTACAGCTTTGAACCCTTACATAATAAATCGGGGGACAAGTGCAATATTATCACCGGGGTCTGAGTGGAGGAGAGAACAAGATATTCATCATTAAGCCTGGTTCACAGCCACTGTGTGAAGCATAATTTCCTGTTCACTTTTCCATGTCCTTAGATATTAAATAATGCACTAAAAATATATGAAGAGAGATGGAGAAGGAAAAAAAAAAGGATATGAAGAACTGTTTGAAGAAGAATGTTTATTTGACATTCAGCGGTGTGCTATTTGCCTGTGTTACTGTGTGTGACTTTTTTGCTCAATGTTACAGCTTCAGCGGGACACGTTATTGTTTCGGTTTGTGTATTTGTAGAAGTACAAAAGGGCTGGGTGAGATTTTACAAGAGGCTGTGACACATGCTGAGGTTATAGGCAACCAGTCTGATGTCTGCAGAGGTGTGCGTGTGTGTGGTTATTTTGTAGCAGCCTGTGTCATTTGCATGTGATTTAGTCAAGGACACCGGACGGCCGTGTGGAATGACACTGCGCTCTGACACAGCACCTCTCAAATCGGAGCCTGCAGATTTATCAATTTATCTGTCCTTCTGCCTTCAGATGGCTGCACGGATTTAATGGACTGAAGGGGAAGCTTTTATGCAGTATAAAGCAGCTGCGGAAAACAGATACTGTAAGAGTAGAGTTGTATAAATTGATAAATGCGGACCGATTTACCAAACGTCCTGCTTCAATCACATTGACTGTTATTTTCTGGTGCCAATTTCAACCCACGTCCTTGTTGGAGAGTGCAAATGTTTATATACTTTTCAAGCATTATTGCTTTATTATTATTTTTTTTTTGCATTTGCTCCAAGTTTTGAGTTCGCTCTTGTTGACAAGAACTGTGAGCTCTACGCCGGGCACGGAAAAATACCACACAGACAGGCAAATCGAATTTCAAGGTCAGGAAAATACCAAATGCTTGTGCTGGTTGTTGCGCCTTGCCAAAAATAGGGCCCGCGGTGTTGAAGTGTGAGGTACACGCTCACATTTCATAAAAAACCCTCTCGGCCACTTTCTTGATGCTGATGAGCAATCTCTCTGCTCCTACGGCAGAAAGCTAGCCCGCAGTAATTCTGATGCCCTGCTCCATTAATTGATGCTGTTTTGTTTTAGTACCTCACAGCCGACACAAGGAAGATAAACAATTGATGAGATGCTTTTTCAGAGTGCAGTTATATTTTCTGAGGTGCTAATTAGTACCCAGTTTCTATGTTGTGTAATTATAGCATCGCTGCAGAGCGGCGTTTCAGGAACAGCCTTAAAATCATAATTAATACAACTATTCAAATTTGACTCAAAGGATACCTGATGATTTATATTTGTCTGCGTGCTTGGTATGCTCTGCTGCAGTTGACTTTGTGCTTTATTTAAGCAGAAGACTTTTCTCCTTGGGTTTTGGGTATTCTCTGGTGGATTGTGGACTGTTTTACCTTCTCATGATAAGTGTGCTCAAAGTGTGAAACCATGCTAAATATGTACTGCGTTTTTGGGTGAACAGTATGTCTGAGAAGCACAGACAACAGAGGAGCAGAGTGTGAGCTGTGAGAAGCTCTTGCAATATCAGTTGGGGATCGCTGTGAGTCGAGGATCATCAGATTCAAGGCGGGGGTCAGATGGCTTTCATTGGGAGTCTCTATATTTGTGTATTCCCCACTGTGCCCTGCTTCTCTATTCCTTTCCACTCTACAGAATCCAGTTCGCTGCTGCTCGGTCCAACCTTAGGAGGAATAAGGTCTTGTTTAAGCTTAGAAGTTCTGGTTTGAATGTAAAAATGGGTTGAATTGGTTTGCCTCTCTTTAACAAGTACTAACTGAGTGTAAACTTGGTCACTGTGCATAAATTGACCATCTGTTTACAGTTTATCGCACCTTTTGAATTTCTTATTTTCTGCTTGCCGTGGCTTCACAATGGATAAAATGATAACAACAAATACTGTGTTCCATAGAGGGGTATTCAATATTGGTGACACTTCATGCATTCCTTTTTCTGGAATGAAATTGAAATAAAACTTGCTTCAGTCTTTAAATCAAAACAAGAAATGGTTGTATTCCCTTATAACCTGGTAATTAAAATATGCTTTAATAATAATATTAATAATATTTGTTCGCAGCTTAGTAACATGGTTTGTTTGTGCAGTGAAATTGCACTAAAACAACACTTCTATGTTTATAGTAAGTATTTGTAAGTATTTAAATGTCAAAACTTCCGTTGATAAAAAGCCTCTCTGTGCCTCTGTCATTGTTCAGTGTTAGTACACAATAACAAGTCTGGAAATAACATTTCCCAAAAAACATTAAGGTTCACCTTCAATGTTTTGAATGGTCAAATGTTTTTATATCAAACGTCGCTGCAGTTGCAAATGCCTCAAACTGTTTTAGCTTCTCTCCTCTCTCCTCTGCAGCAAGTTTAAGGCTTTGAGATGAATTGTCTTCCTCTTCCTTACACGAGCTGAGACGCTGCCCCCCAGTCCGAGCAAAACATGATAATAATGTGATTTGTGATGTGTCTTACAGTATAATACAAGCAAATTTTCTTTTATTACATACATATGAACTAATGAGTCCTTGTCTTCTTATCGTCTTTAAGGTTAAGATCCCTGTTGCTTTGTCTGCAATGTTATGATAGCAGGAAAGGAGTATTCAAGGTAATGACCAGAAATGGAGAGTTATGTTGATAGAAAATCTAACAAAGCACACCTGGAAGTTTTGAAAAATACAATGTTAATATAGTGTGAATTAGTGAGCTCAAAATGACAATGGTTAATGTTTAGTAGATGGCTAAATTGTTCTTGAACACAGCAGCACATTTTCAAAATGGTTATTGTTTGGAACTGCAACACCGCTTGACATTGCAGGTAATTCCCGTTGTGATATCTCAAGCAGGTGGCTCTGTAAGCTGATTTTCAGAAATGGAACAAAAATGGATATTAGTAATGTAAATCATGCAAGATGTGCAGTTAATGGCTCTGGTGGTGGTTGGATTTTTTCCTTCATTACAGCAATTCAAATTAATAAGCAGTGATGTTGGAGGACACCGAGTATACATAGAGCATAGCATCCTGCTCATGTAAAATCTACATGTACATAAAAGCTGGTCATTAAAGTCGGAATACACTTATACGATTATTGAAACCTATAAAGACAACCGTTTCCACCAACATTCGCAGATTTTGTTCAGTTTTGGCAGCCATAAGGGGGCACATACGGAATGATGAGTAAATAGAGAGCACACTGGTGCTAATTTATACAGCAATCCATGTGGAAACAGAAAAAAAACAAACTAAATTTGGATGAGATAGTGGATGGAGAAGTGAGGGGAAATTCCACAGAAGGA